GTTTAATATTTCTTTTGTTTTTTTCTATATTTCTGGCTCTGTAATGAAGTAGTTGAATGTTTAGTGTGCTCCCCACCCCTCCACTCTGTTCCCTCCCTACCCTCTGGGGTGTCTTGCTCTGGACTGGTGTTGGTTACGTAAAGAAATGCAGAGATGCTTAATATTTTCATTAGTTTGTTGGTTTCAGTAGGAGTGGATGGGATGTGAGTAATGGACTAATATAGGCTACAAAAAAAATAATTAAATTTCTTAACCATGAAGGCACAGAGTAAGAATTTGTAGTGTAATGGCACTTACAAGCTGAAACTCATAAAGAAAAAAAGATACCATTTATTGCAGATTAAGAGGAGGGTGGTTGTAGATCACTTTCAGTAATGTCAGTCTGCATTTTAATTGGAAAAATTAGTCAAATGCAGACAAATGTAGTAATGGATTTACTACTAATGCTGCTAATACTTAATACTAAAGTGTATTTGGAAGAATTGCAATGTAGCAATATATCTTAGTAATATTGTAATGTAGTAATATATCAGTGTTAGAGATTTCTTCATCCTTAACTTCTCTTGCTCTGTTACTTTAAGGATTTTACAAATGCTTTTGCTGTTCTTAGGGAGCTGAATTAAAAGGACTTGCTGGCAAACTTCTCGGCCCATTTATGGTGTTTAGTCAGATAGGAGAAATAGTTGGTCTTTGAGACTGTGATGTTGTATTAGAGAACTCTGACAGCTATTGTGCTCTTATTTCTTTTTCACATTCAAAAAGTGATGTTGAACTAGTAAGAATGTCAAAGATGATAGAAACGAGCACTGTTTTAAACAGTATTTGTCTTTATTACCAGAAAAAAGACAGAAATAATGAGAAGTGAATAATATCTGGTTAATACCAACTAATTTCAGCTACTTCTTTTTCAAAGAAGTGTTGCAGCCAGTTGTTCTTTTTTCTTTTTCTTCAATAAGCAAAATTAAAAAATTGGTGAACAATAAGTACATGCTAATTGCACACATTAGCACACATTTCCAAAGTATGTATTAAGCTTCAAATGCCGTGTCTTGTATTAAATAAGTGTAATGCAAACCAATGATAATGAAAATTTACTGCAGAAAACCTTGGTTTACCTCTGTTAGTACTAATTTTAAATATCAAAGAATAGCATCTGTTGTAACTCAGCTTTTTAAAATATAGGCTTAAATACCAAACCAGATCCTGTGCCTCTCAGGTCTTGCATACTTAATATGATGTTCTGTAAAAACTTTTTTATTTTTAAGTAAATGTTTGTAATTAAACACTATTCTAGAGAACTGTAAATCTTCATGTGCAGACACATGTAGAATGAGTTTTGTGGGTTTTGTGTTGTGCTTGAATTTGTGTAAGCTTGTACAGGCACATACCAGATTTCCTAACAGGATCACTAAACCTAAATCAAGGTTTAAAAGATGTAGGTGTATGTGTATTTTTACCAGACTTTGTTCACATTGGCTTTTGTCTCCACATTGTTTTTTATTTTCACTGCCTTTATTATTTTGTCTTCTCCCAATAATAGTGAAAGTTCTTTATCAAGATATACGTTTGTATACAAGTAAAATCTAATAATGTATATTATGATATTTCTAGGCTTGTATAAGTGTATTAGTGTAAAAGCTGTACAAACAGAACTCTCTGCTTTTTTATATATATATATTTCTTTTTAAATGTGTTTATTTTCCAGAGCAATGACAATGAAGAACGCTTGCAGGTTGTAAAGCTTCTAGCAAAAATGTTTGGGGCAAAGGATTCGGAGCTGGCGTCTCAAAACAAACCACTTTGGCAGTGCTATCTGGGGAGGTATATGCTGGTTTAATTTCCTTCTTAAGAGGGAAAAAAACCTTCAATGAAGTATTATTCAACTTTTTTTTTTTTTTTTTTTTTTAAATTTTAAAGTGACACAGCTAAGTGTGAGTTCCTTCCTGCTGCTCTATCTGAAATCTGACAGATAATGCTAAAGAGATTATTTTACATACATCTTCTGCATCTGTGAATCTGCAGAGTGATAAATTACAAAACATCCCTTTTTAGTTCATTTGCCATTGTCAAGAAAAAGGAATAGTTTATTTTAACATCTTTAATTTCAGTGAGGGATTAATTCAATAACAGCATCAAATGACATTTGCAGTATCAGGTGATATTAGAACTGGTTTTGAGGTTTTATGTACTTAGTATTTATACTGCTTTCATTTTTTTTAATGGTAGGAGTACCTTAAAAGAGGGATGTAGTATTTACAACGCGACAAACACAGTCTTTTGTTTTTGAAATATTCTGACAGTTTGAAACAGAAAATATAGCTGGAGCTTGTAGTCAGGAGAAACTTAAGTATGACTACTATGATGATTTTTTTTTTTTATTTGAGTAAATCAGGATAAATTCTATAAATTATTACAAATGCAGTAGTTTATAATTTCACATTCAAAATTTATATCAAAACCAGAGTCCTCAAAGAAATGCTACTTTTAAAAGTATAGGAAACTTAATTGAGGGAAGGCCTTTTGCTTGAAACTATATAACTATTAAAACATTGCATGTCATCAAAAAATACCAGATCTTATTTGGCCCAAAGGAAGGTGCTTCATTGTGTTATAATGTAAAGCAATGTGAATATGTGCAATCTGTTTTTCATAATTACTGTTTTCAACTAGTTATGAATCACATACATTTATTTACTTTTTTCAAGGATTTTAACTTTCATAATAGTTATTAATAGTTATTAAAGGAACCATTCTTAAAACCTTTTGATTTTTGAAAATATACCTGTGTTTTACTAAAAGTTATTCCTTAAAATCTCTATTTGTTAAATAAGCGTTTCAACAGCAATAATGTTCTGAAATTTGATTTTTAATCTGTTTAAAACCAAGCATTTTGAGGATAGCTTGAAAATGCATTTAATTTTTCAAAGTAGTTGTTTGTAACTCTCATTACATAAATAGTTTTGTTATAAAATAACTTATATCGAAATTAAACCCCAAACCCCCTAGTTTTCAAGTATCAAACCTAATTCAGTCTTTCAAAGTGAAGTTTTACAGGAGTTGGAAAAATTAATCTCAGAAGTTTGTACTAGGCTCAATGCCCATTTGTTTGCTGTCTCATACAATTTGAAGAGGGGACGAATACAACACTTTGATAAAGCTTTTAGTTGCTGATTCATGGTTAAATATGTGGAGCATTATAGAAAAGATAGTTAAAATATGTCAGACATCTTTCTAATAAATAGTTGTTGTCTGCCCGGGAGTTTTTCATGTGTACCAGAAGAGGATATTTCTCTTCATGTTCAGAACATGAATTAATAAATGAATACAGGAATTTTTCCTTAAACTAAAGTCTATTTACTCAATACTGTAAAATCAGAGATGTTTTATACATGTAACTGCATGGGAAGCATAAAAATATTTTCAGAGTTATTTGAGATTGTGTAGAAATTAACTAGTTTGGTAGAAGTGATATTTTTGTTGTTGTAATGCATTGTCTTGTTTCTAAATAGGTTTAATGATATCCATGTACCTATTCGTCTTGAATGTGTGAAATTTGCAAGTCACTGCCTTATGAACCATCCTGACCTAGCAAAAGACTTAACAGGTACCAGATTTATTATAACTTTAGAATACAATTTTAAGTCTTCTTGAAAAGTCAGGAAACTTAGTTATAATCTTATGTGACAGTATCAGATGTTGTGGAGGACATAATTGAGGTTGGAGTTCCAAGTCAGAAGAGACCCTGCCTTCAGTGGTGCTTTTCAAAATGCTGAGGCAATTGTGCATAAAGAATGCCTTAACCAAAGAGATCACTCTCCTTCTCTTGAGGGAGCTGGGTCTCTTTAACTTGGAGAAGAAGAGACTGAGGGGTGACCTCATAAATGTTTATAAATATGTTAAGGGCGAATGTCATGAGGATGGAGCCAGGCTCTTCTCAGTGATGCCCAATGGTAGGACAAGGGGCAATGGGTGTGAGCTGGAACACAGGAGGCTCCGCTTAAACTTGAGAAGAAACTTCTTTACGGTGAGGGTAACAGAGCACTGGAACAGGCTGCCCAGGGAGGTTGTGGAGTCTCCTTCTCTGGAGACATTCAAGACCCGCCTGGACACCTTCCTGTATAATCTCGTTTAGGTTCCTGCTCTGGCAGGGGGATTGGACTAGATGATCTTTTGAGGTCCCTTCCAATCCCCAGCATTCTGTGATTCTCACGCTTCTTCTTACGGCAGTTGCATTCCCAACTGCTGTTGAAATTAAGTGCCATGGGATCAGGCAAAGACAGCCTGGCTAACCTAATGGTCATGGCACTTATTAATTAGGGTGCAGAGTGGAGACTTCAGTTCCACAAAGCTGAAATGCATTAATATTATACAGCCACTGTCTAAAACATGAAAACAGTCCTCCTAACTGTGACCACAGCTGTTGGTTCCTGCTCCTTCTGATAAAAAAAAGCCTGTAACTCAAGACCTCTGCAGGAAGAAACCAACTGGCATAGATAGAAGCGTTTAGTATTTGTTGCTCTTGATGTCTTAATGAAAAAATTGTAATTAAAGAGAACGAGTTGGTTTGGTCTTTTTTCCTCCCAAAGTGTGTATGGAGACTGTATCTCCCCCTGTTCATTAAACTCCTATTTACTACTACTTGTAATTTTTTGAAGGTAGTATTTTTGTCCATTTGCTCTAAGGAGGGAATTGAAAGGACTGTTAAGTGCATGGGATTGCTCTCCTGCTTGCTGAGCATCAAGTTAGACACAAATACAGGCAGGCTAGAGTCATCTCATTGCTATTCATATTGTTAAGCCAGCTTTAAAAAAAAAAAAAAAAAAAGTTTCTGGGCCTTTCCTTAATGGAATGGTAAAGATATTTCCTCTTTGATTATCACAATTGTATTTTCAAGGATTTTTTTTTTCTTTTTTTTACATTGCAGAAGGACTTTGTGCCCCCTCTAATGGTATCCTCTGGGAAATGTAATTTTGGTTCCCCCTCCTCTCTCTCCCCACAGCGCTTATTGAAGTAAAACTGTTGAAAAATTTCTCTGACTCACTAGTGTTTGAGACGAGAATTGTTTTGTGCAATTACATCGTTCTTAATTTGTTTTTGTTTATTATGTGTTCCTGTGGAACAAATCTGGTTTGGGGTTTTTTTTTTTTGGTGGTGGGTTTTGTTTTGTTTTGTTTTTTAAAGAAAAGTCTTACTTGGATTTCAAATTTCATAACCTCCATAAGTGCAAAACTTTATTTCTTGGTGTAGTCTTTCAACACTTGTGCTGATTACCAGAAATATTAATGGCTGATGTTTCAGATGAGACTTGAAAATTTTCACTGGTCATTGAACAGTAATAAGAGAACAGTAACTTCTGGTTATTTTGTCAGAGTAAACATTGTATTTTCCATGTTTCTTAATGTTCTCAATGTTTCACTGGTGTGTGCTATGTACAGTGATTTTACTAACTTTTGTGTGCATTTTCCTACCCATTTGTGGTTCTAAATTAACCTAGAATATATACTTCTAAAAAGATAACTAAACTTTGCCATTTTATTTGTCAGCTTTCTAAAATGAGAATAGGTAGCTGACATGTTTAACATTTATAAGCAGAAATCTTAAAATGTTGGTAGTAGATTATTGCTGCTACCAGATAAGTAGCAATGGGCCAAAATAATCTGGAAAAATTATTTTAAGATTAATAAACTAGGCTGTGTCTAAATAAGCATTATAGCTTGGTCAAGGAGCATGCTTTTGAGGTATGTCTCTTGCTTTGTCCCTGCTTACAATGCTTACATGGCTTACACTGTGCAGTGCTCCTGGAGCACATGAACTAGATTCCTTGTGGATAATACAGAAGTTGTGGTCAGGAGTGCAACTAATGTGCTTCACCAGCCAAAGGGGATGGAATCTGCGGGAAGAGAGTAGCCTCTAGCCTGAAGTAAGACTTTAAAGTGTATATAGTGTGGTAATCAAGTTCTCAGCACTGTCTATTCTACTCTACAGATCTAATTCTCTTTATCCATAATAGTTGCTAATGTAGACAGGGCCTATTATAAGAAATAATAAAAATAAAAATGTAACCCCTTAACTCTTATTTCCATAATGCCAGAAATATATTAATATTTCATATTCTAAGCAAATATGATGTTTTACTGACATTCCAGATAATCTTAGGGAAAACTATTAGCTTCTTGCTGTTGATGCACAAAATAGTAGAAAATCATGTTTTCTACTACTATCAGTTAAGGAGTCTCTAGAGAAAGAAAAGTAGCTGAAGTTATATACTTACAATGAAATACTTACTCTGTTTTTTTCCAGAATATCTTAAAGTAAGGTCACATGATCCTGAAGAGGCTATAAGGCATGATGTTATAGTATCCATAGTTACTGCTGCTAAAAAAGATCTTTTGCTTGTCAATGATCATCTGCTTAATTTTGTCAGAGAACGAACACTGGACAAGCGGGTAAGACATAATTAATACCAGTAATGACTGTGCATTATATTTCTAGACTGTAATTCAGCTTTTTAAAAGGCAAAGCTTCTAAAAAGTACTGAACTAATTTTAAAATGGTGAATGAAGACCAGTATAACGTAAAAAATTTTGAAGCAGTCTAATGAGATATTTTTCCCCTGACTAGAATGCCATGTTTTTCATTGTGCTTTATTTTTGTTTTTGTTTAAGATGAAATGCTAAAAAAAAATAGGCTGAAGCACAACAATGTTGTTCCAGTTGTCTAGTTTTAGTAACATTTTTGAGGAAAATGAGACCCTGTAAAACATTCTAACATTTTTCATAAGAAATTTTCCAAGCAGGTTTCAAATTGTATTGTAGATTACTGATGAAAAATGTTCTATCAGCAGAGGTAACTAGTTTACCTGCTTTTAATTATACCATTGGAAGACTGCAGATTAGTGTGCTGTCAAATTTGAATAGGCTTGAAATTTCGTTTAGCTATGTTTCATTATTTGGTAAAATTTATGAGGTTTGCTGCTTATTGTAAAGCATGGTAAACAAGGCTGTTGATGGCAAACTTCTAAAATTACATCCTCACCTGATTTTTTTCATTTGGTGATATGCTTTCCCCTGTTGCACCTGTAATACAATTGCAGATATTCCATGTAGACTGTGAGAAAGGCTGTTGGCTTAAATTTGTAATAATTCTAAATTCAAGAGACTTACTTGCATAGTAGTTACTGATGTTGAAAGGTTTAGCATAATAGATATGATGCAATATATGTGCTAATGAGAAAGTGTTGCACTTAGGACTCAATTTAATTTTTTGTAAATGAAATTATTTTATTTTGATGTAGAACAGGAAATACGTAGCTGGAAATTCTGCAGTCTTTTCGGTTTTGAATTTTGAACTGCTAAACAGTATTATTTCTTTTTCTCAAGTGGAGAGTGAGGAAGGAAGCTATGATGGGACTTGCACAGATATACAAGAAATATTCATTACAATCAGAAGCAGGAAAAGAAGCTGCAAAACAGATATCATGGATCAAAGATAAACTTCTGCATATATATTACCAAAATAGTATTGATGACCGGTAAGTCAGTCATGAAAGCTCGGTGATGCTGTGGGTAAGTGTGGTAACTTACTGTGCAGATTTGTTTTTACTTGTTTTTTAAGTGCTAGCAAGAAGGAAGAGACTTGATAATCCTGTATGTTTTGATCCAGCACATAATCTTATCCAGCTGCAGACAAATGTTGTCCTGTGTTGTTTTCTTCTACTTTTTTGGTCTTATGAAAAAAACAAATAAAAAATTTATTCTAAAGGGTTGAGGTAGGTTGGAATATTTAAAAATTTTTAGCTACGTCACCACTGCTTCTTGCTTATATTTCAGTAGATTGCTAATTTTTATGTTAAATCCAATAAGTAAAATTGCTTTAATGATCTTGCTTTAGGTTTACATGGTGTTTCTGTATGCTTTAAAGATAAGTCTAGTACATGTGGCAATAACAGTTAAGGCTTCTCACTCTGCAAAAGGTTAATTTTTCTGTGCTATAGTAACCATGAATTAGAGCCCTGTCCTGCATTTGTGGTGAAAGCAGTGCCGTCATACCAGCTATAGCCTTGTAAAGAGTTGTTTGTATTGAAAAATAGATGGTTGCATATGGGGAGCTAGTTTGGGAACTAGTCCGCCTTGACTAATCGAGGCTGTCTTGGTAGCTTTGGAAATGAGCCTTTGGCCTTCACAACATGATCGTGTACAAATGACACTGCAACTCATATAAGTCTTTTTAAAAAACTCATGGCCTCAAAAAGTTGTCTCCAAAATAAGCAATTATTTTGTGGTACTGTGGAAGTGGACCCAACTGTCGGGGTCTGCCGATCCAGTCTTACCCACTCGCATTTTTCTTAAACTTCATTTCTTTTTAAACTAGCAGGGTTGGGTTTTGAGCACCTACTTCAGTGTGCATAAAGATTTTCTTCTCTTTTCTAGCCTAAGCATGCATTTTTTAAAAAAACCCCTATTTCCTCCATTCTGTTAATATTGACCTTAATTTGCAGAAGTCTTGGGCCTTCTTGATATTTAAGATTGCAACATAGGATTAGTTTTCCTTTTGTTTTTCCTTCTTAGTCTTTCCTAGGTAACTGGCAGACCCAAAACTTTCTTCCTGTGTCCAAATAAGGAGCTTCCATGTTATAGCAGAAGTTTTTAATAATTTGCTTGTGAATGTACCTGCATTTTTATTGTGGAAGCAAAAGAAATGGGATAAACTCAGCCCTTAGGAAAAGGGACGGGAAGAGATGAAGAGAATTCAGCTCCTCCTGATTAGTATCTGAATTCTCCTTCTGGGCTTCATGATTTTACTTCATGCGAAATAATCAACATGAAGTAAACATGAAATCAACGAATCAACATGATATTTCTTTTCTTATTTTAGGGTCATTCATTTTGGTCACTTCATTTATTTACCCCAATACTGATCCATAATGAAATTCACTGGTAACATCTCTTTGGGCTGATAATTAAGAGGCATCTTTCTCTAAAATCCTTTGGTTCCAGTCTAGATTAATACATCTGATCTTGATAATGTCATCTCTTAAGTATCCTACTGCTAAAATTAATATATCTTCTGTAATGATACGTTTTTGTTTGGTTTATGCTTAGTTATACTGGAAGTAACTTGACCTTTAGATTTTTTAATAACCCCATCTTTATATGCAACAATTGATCACTAGATAGGTCTGAGAGTTTTTGAATGAATGTTTTAGCAATTCAAGACCACTTTCTTCTTTTAGAGTTTAAGTTTCTTAATCTTGTCTTTCAGACTACTCGTTGAACGCATCTTTGCTCAGTACATGGTCCCTCACAACTTGGAAACAAATGAACGAATGAAGTGTTTGTATTACCTTTATGCAACACTGGATTCAAATGCCGTGAAGTATGTGCTATTTTTGACTTCTTGCAAAATAATTTTGATTACGAATATTATTGTAAATTAGTTCTAAATTGTTATGAGTAGCCTAAGCCACTGGGCAAAAGTAGTTTATGAGCTATCAGAAAACAGAACGTAGCAATAGTATGTATTTTTCAAGTGGGTTTTTGGGGAGGAAAAAAAACCAAACCAAACAAACCCCCCAAAACCCCCATCACACCACAACCCCAACTAATAGGGTGTTTTCTAACAAGATATGGTACCTTTTAACTGTAAACAGCTAAAAAATGTGGTGTCAAAGACCTGTAAAGAAGATTGAGTCCTTTTATGTCTGAAAAGAGATAGCATAGATAGTAGTGTTGACTAGCCTTAGATCATACCTGACAACTTCTCAATCAATATACTCCTCATTTTAGCAACCAGGATGACTTAAGAGCAGGAAGGAATTACTTGTTTGTCTTTTCTTCTTCAATATGCATTTTACTTATAGTTGTTACGTGCCTTTTCCAGCTTAAAATGGGTACATGCACATGAATTTGACTAGCAACAGTTTTGCTGCTGTAGTGTTCACAGGTTCATTGAATTTAGTTAGTTTTACTTTGCTTTTCATTTAGTAGTACTCAGTCACTTGAAAATCGAATAAAGTTTGTTTTTGTTTTTTCTCATGAGGGAGACTAGAAAAAGCTTTGTATATGGAAGAATGGCTTTAAAAACCCCAAAGCCTTCAAATATTACAGAATCTGATGCTTGAATCCCCCGTATTTCTTGTATTTTACCTGACTAAATATATTACAGCTGTAACAAACTAAAATTATAAATAAAAAGTTACTGTTCTAGTAATTTTTAGTATAGGCTAAACAAAAATGCAGAGTGGATTCTTTTTAGTACTTGTTATTTTAGGCAACAAATAACTTCTGAATTCTACGGTTTTCACATGCAGCAGTACTCATTTTAGAGACAGTATGTTAAGTTAGTTATATAGAACTGACTTTTTACTTGTGGATTCTGGAATTTTTTTAAATGAAGCTCTGATTTTTAATTTTTCTTTTTTACTTATGGCTTATTTTTCCGGGAAAGTGTGCTAATTTTCAATTTTGTTGAATATCTCTGATGCATCTCTTACAAGTCTAATCATGTCCAGTTTTCACAATTTATTCATCTAGTAGCTGCTTTCTGTGTACAAGAACAATATTGTTTTGATTATAAAAATCTCAAACATCTGCTTTAGCCTGCTGCTTGGAACGCTTTTAGAAGAGTGATTTCAGGCTTGTACAAATTAGGTTTTTATGGGCCAGACGTCAGTTAATTCCTACTTCTTTTAAAGGCAGTGTAGTTAAGCATCTGAAATGAAACTTCTTTCAGAATCTCACTATATTCCAGTATAATATGTCCAATTAAATTTTCCATATCATGCCATTAGGATACATTTAGTCTTTACTCACACAGCAATAAAAGTTCAGGTGATAAGCACATTTCTGAGTCTGAACTTGAAAAGAATTTAAAGGCTTTTATTGAACAGTTGCATTATTTATTGAATAGATTATTTTGACAACTTTTTTTTTTTTTAGAGCATTGAATGAAATGTGGAAATGTCAAAATCTGCTACGACATCAAGTAAAGGATTTAGTTGACCTAATAAAACAGCCCAAAGTGAGTTCACTTTATCTTTATCCCACTGTGAATATGCAGTTTTACTTAATATACTGTTTTCTAACTACATTTGTCTGACTATCTCAAGCTTATTTTTAATGACAGATAGAAAATATTGTGAAAATCAACTGATACTCCATTAGACTACACTTGTGGTAGGCCATGTGTATACATTTTGTTAGTAAAATTGAAGAGGAAGGGGTGTTATAGAAATTTTAAAATATTCTACCAGTCATTTGATACTAAAATATTTGCTCCCAGTGTTTGAATTACATCTTGCCAGGATTGTTCTGGCTCTTGAAAGAGGGGAAAAAACAGGATATTATTTTTGACTGCCAAACCAAGTAATTAATAAAAAGTACTTATGCACCCTAAATTCTTATCTTATGTATGATTAGTAACATTCAAGAAATTGGATAATTTTTATCTCAACAGGTCACTTGTTTCTCTTCCCTCTTAGAAACTTCTTAAATGTTGTATTGGAAAGATCAGACTACGACTGAATTATTTCTTTACACATTTGCTGAGAAAAAAAACCAAAACATTTATTGAGCATTTAGGATATTCTCATAAAATAAAATTTAGTTTTGTTTTTGTTTCATGTATGTGCATACTAATGTTTGGGGTAAAAAAGAAATCATGAGATGAAATTGTGGATATAATTTGGAATGTGTTTAGGACTTGACTATTTAATGCCTGAAGTTTAATCTTGTGCTTTTTTAACAGAAATGATACATAGCAGAAAGCGTTGCCATGGTCACGCTCGTGTGTGTGTGTGTTATTTTTTTGTTTGTTTGTTTATTTTCTGTATGTGTATGTACTCCTATACCACAGTAAATTTAATGAAGTGTTTTAATTATCCATTTAGTGGAATTAACTGAACCAGGAAGAGTGGGTAACTGTGTGGTTGGATTACCTAATGTATCTGCTTAGAAATGCTGTTGTCTTGCAGACAGAGAAAGACTTATCAATCAACATGCATCCCCTACTTTTTCAGTGCTGATTGCAGTGAAATTAATAAATTTTAAACATACTGTAATGTTGTATTAAATTCTAAGTGCAGTAATTGCTAGTACAACAATACTTCATTGCATTTTAGTGATGGTATAGAAATATTTTTCATGTACCGTTTTATATACTTTGGTGTAGTTTAAGTACACTAATGCTTTTAAAACTTGAGTTACTTTCTTGAAATTTCAACTTTTTTCTTTTTTTTTTTGGGGGGGGGGGGAGATGTAATGAAAGTTCTTTGTCAATTGTAAAATACCAAATATGATTTGTAATTAAAGATGTAGGTTTTGATAAATGCCAGCATAAGCGTTGTATATGAAATAGTGTATGCTGTTGACATATTTGCGTTTGTCCGTGTGGCTTTCATCCTGTCTTTCACTGTTAAGTGCTTGTTCTCTACACTTGAATATCCTTTTGAGTAACAGGACTACATGGGAGAATTTAGGGCGCTTGCGATAGTCTGAGTTGCTGTCACGGGCAACAGAACAGTTTTGAGTCAGGGAATTTTATTTAATTTAGTTTATTGTCAATTAGCATAAAATTTTAAATATTGATTCTAGTCTTGAGAAATAAAAGTGAACAAATAAACACTTACAGAAATAGCCTTTGGCTCCCCTTCAGATGCCTCTCTTCCCTGCTTTATGGTCTCCAGTCCCCTCACTGCACAATATGCTCAGTCCCTTCATGAGGCGATGGCAGCACAGGAGAAATGGGGTCAGGGCACGGTAGTTCCTTTCCCTTTGCTGCTCCTCATTTCTTACTCATTGCTCCAGCATGGGTTCTTCCACTGGCCACTGTCCCTTTAGAGTCATACTTTCTCCAGTGTCTCCTCTCTGAAATATGTTTTCTCAGAGGCACCATAGGCTCCTCTGACTGATTAAAGTTTTGGTGGGTGATGGGTTGATTCGTTGGTTGTGAGTCTGGCTGGAAACTGCTTTGACCAGTACAGGGCAGTCCCTGACCTCCTCCTGTACAGATCACCCCATCAGCCCTTTGCTACCTCGAACCCTGGCCTGTGGCAACTTTGTTTTCTTTCAGGAAACAAAACTGAAATGAACTAGTAACCTCTTAGATTATGTCTTGGTGTTACTACATGTGCTTTTTCACTTCAGTCTAATATCTCCACCTGATCATTATAGCTTAATAGTTGATTTGTTCTCCTGTATGTGTTATCCCTGTGGCAAGTGTAGGCACTGTGAGAGCTCTTGGAGATGAGGAGGGATAAGACAAGAAGCAGTGTGCAGAAGTTGCCAGAAGGAAACTTTGATTAGATAATAAGGGAAAAAAAATTGCAGTAAGGGTGATCAGATATGGGAACAGATAGCCCAGAGAGGTTGCGAAATCTTCAACCTTATAGATATTTAAAATGTAACTAGATGAAGCCTGGAGCAAAACCTGATCTAAGCTGGCTCTGCTTTGAGTGGGCAGTTCAACCAGGCAACCTACTGTTGTTGCTCCCAACCTACATTGTTCTGTGATTATAAATCTTTGAACTTTCCAGTGTGCTGTTTTTCTCATCATAGAAAACCTTTTTGCCATTTAGTGAAACTCTTCAGGCGTTCTCCTTTTTTGCTCTTCAGGCTCTCCCCAGTGTAAGCACTGTTGAGGAGAGTGAAAATGTTAAGAAACTTTCCATTTTTGTTGATCATAATTTCTTCTAATCTGAGACAGAACAGATATCAAACTTGCCTTTAAGATGAGTTACTTTTCTGAAGAGCAGAAGCATAAATCACAGTTCCTCCTGTTTTCTCCTACAGCAATGGTATCCAGTTAAATAAAATACATAAATTTGCCTGTTCACATGTGGAAAAGTGGGTGAATACTGATTTGTCTGTATTAGAGTATAAGCTTCATTTGCTGCAGATATGCAGCTGTTCTGATGCTTCCATATCATGGATGTAAGATAACATAGATAAAGTGCCACAGTAGATATTCTAAAAATAAATGTTTCTTTATATTCTTCAGTTGGGCATTATTCAGTGGAGTTATACTACTAGAAGTTAAAGGAATACTTCTGACACAAGTTTTCATGTTTGGCTGAATGATTAGTAGTTTGCTCAACTTAGGGTCTATATTAATGGGAGCTTCAGCCAGTACTTGCAGTCTTAGCCGGTGTTAGAAGACTAAACCAGCCAGAACCAGAAAAACCCCATGGTACAGTTCTGGTATTTTTCTTCTGAGTTGCAGGAGATGTGAATATGGAGATTCTATGTCTGTTGACATCATTATTTGAATCCCATAAACTAGATTTGATTTCTATGTTTTGTTTTGTTTTGTTTTTTAATTTCTTGTCTGAACATACCTGTTCAACTGTGACAGCCAAAAGCCCCTGAAATGGCAGCATTCTTCTGACACTAAAAAGTGACAAAAGTTCTGCAGAAATAGTTAATGGCTAGAATTATGTGCTAAGTGTCTATGTCACAAGATAGAGAGGACATTCACTAAAAACATTACTGGCCTTAATCTCGTGCTATATTTTTTGTTATACTCTGATTGTTCTGAGGTTGCCGCTATTCTCAAATATTGCCACATTTTTCACAAATTTGCTAATTAATTTTATTTTAGATGACAAAAAACCTGTGCAAATATGTTACAAGTCAAAATAATACCTAGTTAACTGCAGAACAGAAACTGACTCTGAAGAGTTGAAGGATACTCCTCATGGAAACACATGCTGCCACGTGTTAGCCAAGGTGGTTGTAATAAATTGTAATTTTGATATCTCCAAAGCTGATATGGTTTGTTTGAACCTTATTTGAGATCTTTATGCAAATTTCATCAATAAAATGCAAAGAAATCAGTGCCTGAACAAGACTTTGACTGCTGTCTTGGGGTCTTTCCTATCTGCTGCATAATAATTCTTTTATAAGAAAATGTTAGCGTCTTGCAACAGTATCTCTTAGTAGTTCTTTCCATGAACCTGATGAAAAGGCCCATTCTAGGTTTTTATTTGCCTCATGGTAAGTACTTTGGTAAGAAGAGTTCTTTTTCTCCCAAGGTGAGCCTCCTTTCTGAGTTGGCTTGATATTGTTTTCTTGTTTGCAATTTTTATGCTTGTCTGCTGTCACTTTGTCTGTTGTAAAGGGAGTTCTGTAAAAGACAGTTCTAGCAATGGTGGTGGCTGCACACTGTTCTTTTTAAATTTAAATACTTTTCAGTGAATGCTCACAAAGTGTGGTTATGTTCCTGTTTAAATCTTTTCTCAGAAGTATATCAGTTGGTAGCTGTATCCCATAATTGATACTATTTACATGCATTTATGAAGCTTTGCAGACTTCATAAGTTTGGCCACCAAAGTTGATCTGTGAGAAGTCAATTGGCAAAAGAGCAGCTTCTCTTATGGTTTGGAAGCTGATGGGTCTATATGCTTTTGACAACATTGCTGTAAGTTTGGATTTTCCTTCCTGTTCCAATTTTCATCTTATTTATGAAGATTTCAGAGTTGTTTAACAATACTTGTAACACAGCAATGAAAGCTTTCAATTTTTTTTCTTCTTCTTTCTTCCACCTTAGAACACTTTTCTGAACATGGTTACAATGTATCTTCACTGTACAGTTAAGGACTCCCTTTGTCTTTTTCACTGATAATTCAGTAATACCTCAAACTTCAGTGTAATTCTATAAAAAATCCTAGTCTGTAGAATATTGTGGATTACAGCTAAAAGTGGGGGAAGAGTGTCTTGGCAACTAGTTTGTCTACCTTCAGTAGTAGGTGATAAGTTGTAGAAAAATCACTTATTAGTTAGAAATATAGTCTCATAAAGAAAACGTACTTGTTAGGTAGTTTTACCTGGCTGTGAAATATGTTGTTGTATTTTTTATTCTCTTCCATTTACTCAGTGTCTGAGCTAACTCTTTGCATGTGGAATTTGAAATCATGTACCGGAATTACTGTCAAAAGGAAAATAAATGAGATAAAACTCTGTTTTGTGTAACTTATTTTTCTTGCAAGGTGGTTTTGGATGACTTTATATCAGTAACAGTTTCACTGAAATCTAAGCTTCACACATATCCTGAAATGCAGTTAGTGTTTTATGTTTTCATGGTCACTGATTGTTACTTTCACAATTACACTGCTATCATCTGCCTTCCCTGTTCAGCTGAACAGGGGTAGCAATTGTCTTGCTATTGCTCTGTTCTTTACAATAAGGTGGGAACTATTGATGCAACTACTTAGAGTTAATATCTGAACAAGAAGATGAAGTGAATTTAATGCTTGCTGTTTGTTTTATATTCAAAAACAAATAGGCTTTGGATGGAAAATAGTTACAGAAATAACCCATTTGTGCTGTTCATAAGTTATATAGTAGATTGAAATGTAATAAAGATATTTTGCATAACTATATGTGAGACAGTGATACTGCGGGCATGATCTACCTTCTACTTCCTGTAACTGTCTAGCATTAACTTTGCAGTGGTGGTTTTGATTTCTAACACACTGATGTGTTAGCAAAATGATGGGTGCTGACTTGTTGATAATGCATTATGGAATTTTGCTCACCCAATGTTCAAATGGAATATATAATGTAAAATTTTTACTTAATCCATTTTTCTTTTGTGATTTGCAGACAGATGCCAGCAGTAAAGCTATATTCTCAAAAGTGATGGTTATAACAAGTAAGTCAGTTGAAGTATTTACGCTGTCTAAAAATTACAGTTGAAATATATTGCTTTCTTGCTTTAAAAATTGAGATAAGCTTATAAAAAGAAGTTTTTTAACAGATAAATCTTATAACAAATCATGATAAACGTGATTTAACAATATGCTTTAAAGAATTAAGACAACTGAAAGCAGAATTACTTCCTCACTGTAAAAAGTCTCCAGTCATGAAGCATATATGACATTTTGGCTGCATCTGTTGTGGACTAACTCAAAATCCAGATGATCTAGGGTGTTAGCATCTGCTTTAGCATTTATTATAGAATATATACTCACTGACATTAACCTGCTAAGCTGTCTGCTGACTTGCTGTGATACTACTGAAACCAGGACATTTGCCTGTGTTTCAGATGTTCGTATTTTAAGTGCTGTTGGGAGGATGCAGAAGGGTTTGGGTTTCAGTAGCAAAGAAGGCACTTGTAACCTTAACTCTCAGCAAAGTAAACACTAGCCCCAAAACAACACTTCTTGTTCCCCCTAGCCCACCATGCCAATAGCATTAAAGCCAGTAAGAAGAGGAAAACTTGGTTTACAGTTCTGAAATTTTGGTTTTAAGTCAACCTTTTCTGAAAAAGTGCAAACTGTTCTGGAGGGGGAAAAAAAAAAAAAAAGAACTTCAAGCTGTGTACACTTTTGAAAAAATGTGAAGGAAAAACTGAATCTTATTGCCTGGTTGGCCATGTTCCAAATCCTTTTTTCCTTTTATTTGTAATAAAATGTTGATTGGTTTGTAATTTTTATGTTTCTCTAAGTTCTGGGTTGCATCTTGAAAAATAAATAAATACAGCAAAACAAAACCTTGTTTTGAACTAACGATCCTGTAGTCCCATACCATTTTCTATGTCAGCTTTCCTTAACACCTACTGTACCAAACCCATGAAACACCTTAAATGGTGTACTAACACTCTGCCAATAAATTGTCTTGTTATAATATAAAACGTAAATATAAAAGTAATATGTAATTTAGGAAATGCATTTTTAAAGCTTTTAAAAAATGTTGCAAGCTGTTTTAAAGCTTACATTTAGTGAAGGAGTAATTCAGCAAGAATACCTTTTTGATGTTTTTCACACTTGTTATATCAGGTGATCTGTATATACAGTATATTTTTCTGTGGAGTATAAGCAGGTCAACTGCAGCTGTATATATTATTGACAGAAATAAGCAGACTTGCTAAAAAACAAGTGTGAAGGGCAAGGAAAGCAAATAGCCAGGGGAGGTCTGTGGGTACTCAAATTTTTATAAACTGCTGTCTTCATAGATGTGTCTGCACATGTTAAGGTGTTTTGTGGTTTGTTTGTGGGTTTTTTGGGGGGTTGTTTTGGTTTTTTTCACCCTTTTTGGTTACCTTAAGCATGCATGGAAACTTTCTTGGTGTGACATTTCGAACTCGTGTAATTTACAGTGCTGATACTTACTAAAATAAATATTGATTTCTTTTGCTTATTTAAAGGAAACCTTCCTGATCCAGGGAAAGCTCAAGATTTCATGAAAAAGTTCACACAAGTTCTAGAAGATGATGAAAAAATAAGAAGTCAATTAGAAATGCTTGTTAGCCCAACATGTTCTTGCAAACAGGCTGAAGGATGTGTGGTAAGAATTGCTCTTAAAATATGTGGATATTTTTGGAACTGAATTGATTATAAATTTAATTGAAACTTATATTGCAGAGGGAAATAACAAAGAAGTTGGGCAATCCAAAACAACCAACAAATCCTTTTCTGGAAATGATAAAGTTTCTTCTTGAGAGAATTGCTCCTGTGCACATTGATACTGAATCCATCAGGTATTTGTGTGTGTGTGTGTGTGTGTTGTTGACTGTAGATCACAGGGTTTGAAATTGGGGTTTCTTATTCCGCATTTAAGCACAAGCAGTAATATTTAGGGTGGGTGTGGTTTAAGGCCTGGTGACCTGCAATATTCTCTTCTGTTTCCCCTTGCTTAGGAGTTTTTATATCCTTGTTCAGAATGTAGCCACACAAACAATTGATTTGTCATTCAGCACAGCTGGGGCAACCTGTCAGTAAAAATGGATGTGTTGCTGATGGAGGAAGTTTGGTTTGTGACTGACCTAGTGTAAAAGAAATTTCTGTCCACAGTTATTCATTGAAGATTTCCACCCAGAATATTAGCTCGTAGTGACATAAACAGTAATTCAACTGAGGAAGTAAAGATTGTGGTGATGAGAAAACAAGGCTTTAAGGAAGAGTAAGCCAGTGAAGTTATGGGAGGGGGAAAAAGTAATTGCTGAAGTGGTTATTTAACAGCGATATTTGAAATATAGTACCTTAGCAGAGACAACTAGTTGTATATACTGGTAAATTCTTATCTGTTAATTCCAACTACAGTAATTGACTTATGTATTTGAGCTTTTTCATTTCTGCCTGTCGCGTATGCAATGTAATGGAGCCATTGAGATTTCACTTAAAAATCTGTTTCTGATCTTGGATTAAGTACAATTTGTAGCTGGATTTCTACATTAAATTTGAAAACACTTTTTTTACATGCACAGAAGCAATGTAAAAATTTATATTTAAAGTAATATTCACATGTGGCACTAAGTTATAATATTTATTTTACAGTCTACCTACTGACTGACTGCCATACAGTATGCAAGCAAAAAAAACCAGTAGTAAAAAGCATATATTTTCAGTATTGCCACAGAATTGGTCTTCTCCCATCTTTGCAGAATTTCACTAAACTTCTGCTTCATTTTTGAGACTCAGACTGTGTGGTTTCTTTAATAGATGGTCATTTTTGCCTAATTAGAGCAGAGAAAAAATTGGACGTCTGGGAAGTCTGACTAGGAAGTCTCTCCCTTGGTTTGCTACCCGTTGGTTGTGGGGTTTTTTGTTTGGTTTTTGTTGGGTTTTTTGGAGGAGGGTTTTTGTGTTTTATTTTGGTTTTTGTCTGGGAGTTGTTGGTTTTTGGTTTTTTTTTTGCTATTAATATAATTTATGGGATGTATTGAAGGAACATTCTGAATATTGTTCAGTTCTTGACTGGGAAGCTGCCTACTCAACTTACTAATAGGATCATTTAGATAATCACCATTTCCCTTCCTAGGAGACAGTGTAAGAAAAAAAACCCCAAGCATTACTGTCAAGGTGAAATATGCAGGCAACAGGTCTTTTAAATTTTTCATCAACTCTTAGCACAGCTGTCTGATGGTTATTTTTTTCTCGTGGTTATAGACTACACGTTGTAAATTGTTAGTTTCCATCAATTATTAAGAATCCATAGCAGCTAGTAATCTTACCATAGTTCTTACCTGAATTTGTTGCTTGTAATACTCAAATTGTTTTCTTACTTTGATCATCCTTCCAGGGTAATTTGTATATAGTTCTTAATTAATGATGGATAAAGATTTTTGAACTTAATGCTTTATAAGCTTTGATTTAAATAGGAGATGAGTGCAACCAGATCATGTATGTAGTTGATGTATTTGTTTTATAACAAGCTTATGTTTTAAATAAGTTCCTTTAATAAGATTATATTTTAAACTTATGAAAATGGTCATACACAGTAGAATTGCAGTAAATACAAGGCCGTGTTTTGTTTTCCTCTTCAGTGCCCTTATCAAGCAAGTAAACAAGTCTATAGATGGGACAGCTGATGATGAAGATGAGGGTGTACCTACTGACCAGGCGATCAGAGCAGGTCTTGAATTGCTTAAGGCAAGTATACCCCTGGTGGTTAGTGAGCATGTGAAACTTTCTGAAGAAACATTGTTAAAATAAATTTTTAATTAGCACTCAGTGTCTTTAGTCATAAACACGTGGTGACTATCTGGAGCAATACTGGTTTGTTTTTTGTTCTCTGTGCTCAAGTGGCACATAAGTAAGGAAATCTTGCAGATCTTCAGAAGTTTTTCTGGAAGTCGAAGGTAGTTGCGCGTGTGACATCAGCAGCTGAGTTTTGATTATTAAAGTGTGAATTGTGTGGTTTGTGAATATAGTTATACTACTTTTGGAACTGTACTTGTGTATGAGTCTAATACTGTGGTTCCCCTCAGTCCCTCATAAGTTGAGGTCTTATCTATTTCAGCTAGGTGTAATCTTTGAGACTCAGTTAACACAGCAAACCCCATCAAGATGCATTTCTGGGACATTGTACTGAATTTCTTACTCTGTCCTCCCTTTTTCTTAGGAGGAAAAGGGAGGTTCACTGTGTTATTTAAAAATACTGCTAAAAGTGTGAAACTTTTAACATGCAAGTACATAGGACTTTTTGTTTCACTTAAAGACTTTAGGCTAAAGGCACTATGTAGTATCAGCTTTGCCTGTACTTGCACAGAAAGGTACTTGTACCATAGTACCACCTCTAGTTATATGACAGCTGGGAGGAGTCCAGCTATGTGTTGACTTCAGTGGCCTCAAAATCTAAAGGACTCCCATACTGAAGTTTTCTGAATATCATAGATCAACTAAGGGCCTAGTAGATTGATCGGAGAGCATGTGACTCTTTAGCCGAATGTGCATGTTCAGATAAAAGTGCAAAAAGCCAGTGGCACAAAAATGAATCTGAGTAAGAATGTATCATGCCATGAAGGGCTGTGTATTTGAAAGAAGGCTCCCGGATTAGTACTTAGATGTTCATATGAACTGGCATGACACATTTAAGTAAGGTTGTCCTAAAGAAAGTTGTCTGTACATCAGACTAATCCAGAAAGGAGAATTGTAGAAGGCCAGAAAAGGGGATGCCGTGCAGTGAAGTGGGGAGGAAAGTAACTCGGTAAAAATAAAAAGCTGTGTGTGAAGAAGTTCCCAGATTTTGAGGATCGTTTCTTTGTCATGGGTCAGAATATTAAATGGAAAGAGGCTAATAATCAACAGCCACTTAAAAATGAAGAGAAGACAAATGACAACTTTGAGGGAGGATCAAAAGAGGATTTTTTTCTTTTTTTTTTTTATCTTGGGAAGATTGTCACACTTGAAAACAGAGTCCCAAGATTCTGAAAGAGGTACAGGATCTGGTAAGCTGCCGTGGAAAGCTTTGGGGACTAGAGACTCTATTTGGCATGTTTATATTACTATTTTAGAGATAGGAACTTCACTTTAGAGCGCAACCAGTTGTTCCACTTAGCCAACAAGCATGAAGTCTGGGAGTACACAAGCTGGATTCCTTTTAGAGATGGACTTCAGAAGCATGTGTTGTGTCGCAGTGGCTAAAGTGGGTTCAGTCAGTCTAGAAATACTCTGAAGTAAAACCCATGAAATGTGAATGTTGCTTCCGTAGCATAAATTGTGTTTCTCTTAAGACCCCAGCGCTTCTGCTGTAACCCAGTACTTGCTAATGTGGATGTAGCCACTGTGAAGTATATGTTCACAATAATAGAAGAAATTGAGGCTGGAGAAATAAGTTTAAACTGATGAGATCATGTACAAAGACAGAGAAGTTTAGGAGGTACTAAAAGAAAAAAAGTCAGAAAGAGAAATGTGGATTATGTGACAAAACCAGGCAGAGTATTATAAATATTCCAGTTTGGCAGTGGAAAAATAGTCTTGATGGAATGTTCTGTGTAAGTGGACCTTTAAAAAATATTAACATGTCTTTAATCTTATTTTGGCAGGTACTTTCATTTACGCACCCTATCTCATTTCATTCAGCTGAAACTTTTGAGTCTCTCCTGGCTTGCTTGAAAATGGATGATGAAAAAGTGGCAGAAGCTGCATTACAAATTTTCAAAAATACGGGGAGTAAAATTGAAGAAGACTTTCCTCATATACGATCGTAAGTTTCATATCTTACTCTGTTTAAGTTACGTTCTTTACTATATAGGATTTTGGAAGTTCTCATTCTTCCTTTAGCATGCTATAGCATTTTCCTGCACTCTTTTTGAAGAAAGTACTTCTTCAGGTAAAACAGGAAAGAGATTTGAATGACTTTAAAATGCAGTGCTTTTTGAAGAACGGAAGTGAAATTAATATATCCAAAGTAGTGACAGCTGATACATCACTATAATTTTTATCATTGCCCTTCAGGGTTACTTATGTTTTTTCCTAAATTAAATATATGGCAATAAAAACCCCTTTATTTGCAATTTAGTGGGGATGTGTAGACAAGAGTATTTCCGAAAGAGCATTTAGTAACTTGTGCAAATAAATGTTTGTTTTACCACATGATATTTTATCAACAAAAGATGGATTGGTTTGGTTTTGTTTTTTTTTTCACTTGCAAACCATGTGAATAACCCTTTTTTTCTTTCTTTGAATAAACTGCCAAAACCCGGACGATTAGCACTTTTGCAGAGGTGTTGTGTTCTATATATGTATATCTGTACTCTTTTGCAAGTTTGGTATTTTGGAAGATTTTTCAATGTGTGAAAAGATACTTATCTTTTTTGTTGTTGTTTTGTTTGCTTTGTTTTGTTTGGGTTTTTTTTAGTGCTTTGCTTCCAGTGTTGCATCATAAAGCTAAAAAGGGACCCCCTCGTCAAGCCAAGTATGCTATTCACTGTATCCATGCAATATTTTCCAGCAAAGAAACACAGTTTGCACAGATATTTGAGGTAAAATTAAAATTTTTAAGTTAGTTTTTATTAATCTTTTATATTGCATACGTTAACTAAGGGATGTAGTGGCAATTTATATTGCTGTTTCCCTTTTTTGTCATACAGTTCGGGCTGAAAAATAGTAGCAGACGTGTTTTTGTATCCTATGATCCATCATGTTTAGGATGATCCATTCTAACAGACAATATAGTAAAACAAAGTGTTGAACTGGTTTCTAGAACCATGAACTATTTATGGAAAGGGCAGCCATACACTGTTCCTCATTCCTGTTGGGATTGGCCCAAAGTATTACAGAACTTATGGAAAACTGATTTATGGTAGAGACTATTGAAATAGATTTTAAAGTTACAATGGCAAATGTACTTTTTAATTAGTGCCCATCAGCCTTTTATCTTGAAGGCTGAATCAGAGTCCCTTACTGAAATTGCCATCTTGACGTGTAGTATGCCCAGTTCTTCAACACAAAAATACACTTTTTAATCCACTGCTCCTAAATGATCCTGCTTGAGCTGCCACTTTCTGAACTACATAGATGTGATGCACATTTTGTAGTCTTGATTTTTCTTTTGATTTATAGGAGACTTGTAGGGTTGTAGAATGTGTGTTTAAATCTGAGTAGTTAGTAGTGCTTTTAAAATTGTATTTCTGAAATAAAAATAGACATGGACAACTTAGTACAGAATTCTCACCCTGCTCTCCCCAGTAAGACACGGATTATATCAGTAATACCTGAATTTGTTACCTTTATTCTAGCCACTGCACAAAAGTCTGGATCCAAGCAACTTTGAGCATCTCATTACGCCGTTGGTTACTATTGGCCATATAGCCATGCTAGCACCTGATCAGTTTGCTGCCCCTTTGAAATCTTTGGTTGCCACTTTTATAGTTAAAGATTTGCTAATGAATGATAGGGTAAGTATTTTTAAAACCTCTTATTAAGATTCCACTTCTCCTGTAGTATGATACTCAGCAAGTACTTGTGAAAATTTTTTACTTACTGGTTCTTCTTTTTGAATATGGTTGTCTTTGGATTTCCATGTGTACTGTTTGACTCGATAGGAAACACAGTATAGGAAAGGAGACAGTACTGATTGGGTAGTTCTGACAAGAGCGACAGCTGGATAGCACTTATGACTTGCCTTCATTAAAAATGGGAAAATTGATACTAACATCATTCAGTCTCTTGTCTTGAGCAAGCAAGTTGTGATTTTTTTAAATTTTTTTTATTTTTTTTTTTTAGGAAGTATAGTGCATTAGAAACTAAAATACACTGTTTAAATGGAAGACACTGAATTTTAATTTTTGTAGTACTTCTGTATTGATAGTGATTATAAAGTGAAAAAAAATAACTTATGCATTGTCAGCCATGGAAAGATTTACTTTCTAAAGCTATGTGTTTGAAGTCTCAATCTGTCGGATATGGGAACTGGAAATTATTTTCAAAGCAATAGCTATTACACTTTAAAGCAATAGTTTTCATGTAACAGCAACAACAATCCCTCCCCTGTCCCCTCCCACCTTTACTACTGTTAAATTTGCTGATGCTTGAAGAGTGAGGGTAAGAAAGGTATCTCACTTCTGTAATGGTTACTTCTGTGGAATACAGAAGTCATACAGCTGACCAGTGAGTGCTGCTGTGTTGTTCTCAGAAGCAGACAGGACAGAGGAGATTGCAGCAGGTTTCTCTGAAGAGTAACAGTAGTGTAACAAAGTGTAACATTTGGTTTAGCTTCCAGGGAAAAAGACAACAAAACTTTGGGTCCCAGATGAAGAAGTGTCTCCTGAAACACTTGTTAAAGTAAGTAGCACTTATTTCCTATGATTATGTGTGGAATACTTAATAAAATTAAATATCTTGATTGCTAAAGCTGTCAGCTGCTTTTCTGTGTTTCCTTGTCACCTTTCTAAAAATAAAAAAGTAGTAACTGTTTTAAAATTAAGAATCTTATCAGAATACACATTTTTGGATTGCCAGAAGAAAAATATTTGTTTTGGAAGAATCTACTTCATTTAATTCTGTAAATAAATTTATGTATGTGCTTTATTGAATTTTTATTATAGCTTATTATAGGTTTAGGCTTGATGTGCAACACTTAAGTATTCTAGATATTATCACAGTTAAAGTAATTTTTTTTTTTTCTTTTCCTCCTGTTTAACATAGGAGGGAAATACCATAGAGACTTTGGTTAAAGTCTTCCCTTTTTCTTTTGAAATTTTAGGGTATTCCAAGAAACTTTCAGTGCTATTTTGGAATAATGAAAAAATTGTTCTTGGATTTGTCAGTTTTCTCCAGTGAATAAATGTTACATTGCTTTTCTCTGTGTACAACGTGTATTAGAGAAAGAGCTAGATTAATTTAAAAATATAACTTTAAAATTGTGGGGTGTTTATGGTGGTTTGGTTGGGTTTTTTTACTTAAAAATGTCATTTCGAGCTTGTTCTTTTTTTGGAGTAAGTTTATGATGATTTCTGGGCTTGGTAATAGATACTCTCACTCAATTTTTCACTCAATCATAAATAGACTTGTACTGCTGAGAATACATCCTGTGTCTGTATTTGTTTTTATATGCCCTTCAGAACAGGGATAGATTATGTTTTCACTTTTTCTTTCAGAATTAAAGATGCATGTACTTTGTAACATGCTGTTTCGAAGTTAATTATAGCAGTCTTTTCATTTCCACTCCAGAAATGGTTAAAAGAATACATATTTGTTTTGATTTTGTGAACTGCAGGATTATAATAGACATGATTTCACTTCAGTGATTATACATGTAACTTGAAGTAGTAAATATTAGTTGTTTTAAATTAAATTTAAATTTTTTAAATTATTTGTCAAGCTGTAATATCTCTCTAAAATGTGCTTTTATGTTGCTAGAACTTTTCATATAATTGTGTATTTGGAAGGAAATTGGCTTATAGAAAATCTTAAGACAATTTGAAGCCAAACCTGAAAACTGTAAGAAGCATTTATTGGCAAGTGAAAACAGATGATTGTGAAAATTGATTTGCAAATTTAATTAGCATTTATTACCACTGAGAAGCGTATATTTAATGTGTGCTGCAGGCCACACCATTAGTTTATAAACTGATTTCTCTCTGACAGTGTATTTTTCTTTACTCTGGTTTTAAAAGTCTCTTTCTTCCTTTGTAACATAACTGTATAATATACCTAATGGGAATCTTAAAACTAGCAAGTTTAAGTAGGGAAGGGGGAAGGACCGATGAAGACAAAATGTTATTATCATCCAGCCTAACAGATATAGACTGATACAGGCTAGCCTTAGTTTTGGATGCTAAACCCTAAATGAAATTATGTCTGTAGAGAAATGTTTCAATACAGTATTAAATATGAATTGGATTAATTATTGTATGAGTTGGACTTGAATTCCTACGCCTGGCACTTGAGTGACAGTGACCAGTACTGAATACTGATTGAGACTTACATGGTAGCGGTGATATTTCTTGTTTCCTTCTCTGTATACAGCAATTTAAGGTTTCACATCCTATTTCCCTGACTATGTTTTAAGTGGGCATTGTTTCATTTTTCAGTGCTGCACAAACTTGCAGCATTTATGGCTCTGAAAACTCAGGTAATAGAAACCTGAGGCATCTGTTGTCGTAATGTTGATGTAGTAGGAAGACACTGTTTCCAAGATCACTACATGGGATGAGAGCCTATTATACTTTTACAAGAGGCATGGTGATAACCTCTAGATCAGAGAAAAGGGTTATATCTATCTGTTTATTATTTTTAATTGTTAATTTTAATCTTAAAATTTAATACTTATTCACTATTGACAGTTTATGTAAAGCTAGTAGTTAATTGCAGTTTTCTCATATCATAGAATCATAGAATAGTTTGGGTTGGAAGGGACCTTGAAGATCATCTAGTTCCAACCCCCATGCCATCAGCAGAGACATCTTCCACTAGACCAGGTTGCTCAAAGCCTCATCCAACCTGGCCTTGAAAAATATGACAAATAAGAGATTTGTCACATTATATTTACTGTCTCAGAAATAAATTATCACGTCCTATCACTTTTGCTTGCACTTCAAATACATGTAGTTCATGTTGTGTTGCTAAGTCTAGTACAGAGCTGTCATTTGTGGCCTTTGATGTGGTTCTGATCCATGTTGTATTTTGACTTTCTTGACATTTTAATGTTGTATATAATAATTTTTAATCTTGGAGGAGAACTCTAGGCTCATGGGACACAAATTGAAACAAGAAGTTCAGACTTGGATGTAAGGAAAAAACTGAGAATAATCAGGCAGTGGAACAGGTTGCAAGAGGCTGCAGGTTGCCAAGAGAGCCTGTGCAGTCTCCACTCTTGGAGGCTTTCAACACCATGATGAATAAAACTGAGACCTACGTGGTCTGACTTAATAGCTGACTTTTCTTTGAGCAGGAGATTGGACACCTCCT